CCAACGTTACGAATAAGTTTTCCCGCGGTTAAACTTGTTACATCCACCAACGCTACTTAGTAGCCCTTTATGCGCTACTTACTGATATTGAATAAACGAATAGTAGCCAGCGTGGCCCCCGAACGTCGATGTCTTGCAACCCACGCGGTGCAATCTAGGCGGTGCAACGTATGCTATGCAACCTAGGTAGCGCAAGCCACGCGGTGCAGTTCATGCAACGCACAGCGACGCCAAGCAACGCTAGCAATGCAAGCAAACGCAACGCAAGCAAACTGGGCTAGATTTGTCCGGGCACCCAAGATGTAGCCTGGAGTTGTGCTCTGGGAACACGAAGAGCACAAAGTGGCCCACAGTTGGCTCCGGGCACTCACGATGTGGCCTGGGAGTGGTGTTCTGGCAAGATGCATCGTGATTCCAGACAAGAGTTTCGCACTTTCCAACGTTATGATTTGTTGCGTCCTAGCCTGGCTAAGACGAAACGAGCATGAAAGCCACGAAGTGCGATAGGGTTACATCTTTCCAACGTTATGAATGCCTTTTTGGAGCTCTGGTGCAGGACTCACAAAAACGACGCCGTTCGTAACGTTGAAATTTCTTGAATCAAAAATATTTGAATATTCTTATTCAAGCATTTCCAACGTTACGAACGGCGCCGTTTTGTGCGGAAGTCTTGCACCAGAGCTCAAAAACGGCATTCGTAACGTTGGAAAGTTGCAACCCTATCGCACTTCGTGGCTTTCATGTTCGTTTCGTCCTAGCCAGGCTAGGACACAAAAAATCATAACGTTGGGAAGTGCGAAACTCTTGTCCGGAATCACGATGCATCTTGCAAGAACACCATTCCCAGGCCAAATCGTGAGTGCCCGGAGCCAACTGTAGGCCACTTTGTACTCTTCGTGTTCACAGAACACCACTCCCAGGCCACATCTTGGGTGCCCAGAGCCAACTCTAAGCCATTTTGTGTTTTGCTTCGCGTTGCTTTGCATTGGTGAGACCCCTGAGACCTACGACACCTATCGGTCCTGTGGGACCTGCGAAACCTGCGAAACTTGTGGGACCTGTGAGACCTACGACACCCGAGGAGCTTACAATACCTGTGGGACCTGGGGGACCCCTGTGGCCTGTGGCACCCGTGGGACCTGCAAGACCTGTGGGACTGGTGGGACCCGCAACACATGTGGGACCTGCGGGACCAGTGGGACTTGTCGGACCTGCGACACCCGTGGGACCTGGGGGTCGTTTGTGGTCCGTGGAACCCTGTGGGACGCCTGGGGGCCAGCTGAAGCAACGCGTGAATGCGACAAACATTTGAGGGTGGCAGAAGCGAAATGTGTCGGAAAATGCGCCAGCTTAGCGTAGTGTTGGGGCCCGTAACAGCGTAGTCTTGGGGCCCGTAACAAAATGGCAGCCGTGGATGTAAATATTTAGCGCGAAACCCGTCCATAACATTGAATTCCGCCATTCAAAGATATGGAACGCAAGCTCGGCATGAACGGCCCCAGGTTGAAACAAGTGCTTCCGTGTTTCGCGTTTATGTTTTACATTTTCGCGGGCAGCTGCCGATCTTGCCCTACCTGGAACTCGCGGCCTTTGAATGGCGAAATCCAATGTTATGAATAAGTTTCGCGCTAATTGTTTACATCCACGGCCTTCCAGCAACGCTAACTTAGTATCTCTTATGCGCTACTTACGTGATATTGAATAAACGAATTGTAGCCAGCGTGGCCCCTGAACGCCGATGTCTTGCCATCCACGCGGTGCAATCTAGGCGGTGCAACGCATGCAATGAAACCTAGGTAGCGCGAGCCACGCGGAGCAGTTCATGCAATGCACAGCAACGCCAAGCAACGCTAAGCAGTGCAAAGCAAGGCAACGCAAAGCACAACATGGGCTAGAGTTGGCTCCGGGCACCCAAGATGTGGCCTGGGAGTGGTGTTCTGGGAACACGAAGAGCACAAAGTTGCCTACAGTTGGCTCCGGGCACTCACGATGTGGCCTGGGAATTGTGTTCTGGCAAGATGCATCGTGATTCCGGACAAGAGTTTCGCACTTTCCAACTTATGATTTGTTTGCGGTCACACCTGGCTAAGACGACGACATGAAAGCCCGAAGTGCGATAGGGTTCCAACTTTCCAACCGTTTATGAATGCCTTTTTGGAGCTCTGGTGCAGGACTTCCTTACAAAAGCGATGCCGTTCGTAACGTTGAAATTTCTTGAATAAAGAATGTTTGAATATTCTTGTTTAAGCATTGCCAACGTTACGAACGGCATCGTTTTTGTAAGGAAGTCCTGCACCAGAGCTCCAAAAAGGCATTCATAACGTTGGAAAGTTGTAACCCTATCGCACTTCGTGGCTTTCATGTTCGTTTCGTCGTAGCCAGGCTAGGACACAACAAATCATAACGTTGGAAAGTGCGAAACTCTTGTCCGGAATCACGATGCATCTTGCCAGAACACCACTCCCAGGCCACATCGTGAGTGCCCGGAACCAACTGTACGCCACTTTGTGCTCTTCGTGTTCCC